TCACAAGGTCAGGAGATCGAGACCATCCTGGCTAACATGATGAAACCCCGTCTCTACTAAAAATACAAAACAATTAGCCAGGCATGGTGGCAGGCGCCTATAGTCCCAGCTACTTGGGAGGCTGAGGCAGGAGACTGGTGTGAACCCGGGAGGCAGAGCTTGCAATGAGCCGAGATCGTGCCACTGCACTGCAGCCTGGGCAACAGAGCAAGATTCCGTCTCAAAAAAAAAAAAAAAGAAATTTGCTAGGTGTGGTGGCGCATGCCTGTAATCCTAGCACTTTGGGAGGTCAAGGTGGGAGAAATGCTTGAAGTCAGGAGTTTAAAGACCATCCTGGGTAGCAAAGTGAGACCCTGTTTTTATTTAAAAAAAAAAAAAAAAAAAAGCCATTTAGAACTCGAAGGTGAAGCTGGGCACAGTGGCTCATGCCTGTAATCCCAGCACTTTGGGAGGCTGAGGCAGGAGGATCACGAGGTCAGGAGTTCGAGACCAGCCTGACCAACATGGTGAAACCCTTCTGTACTAAAAATACAAAAATTAGCTGGGCCTGGTGGTGGGCACCTGTGATCCGAGCTACTCAGCAGGCTGAGGCAGAAGAATTGCTTGAACCTGGGAGGTGGAGGTTGCAGTGAGTTGAGATCCTGCCACTGCAGTCTAGCGTGGGCGACAGAGCAACTCGATCTCAAAAACAAAAACAGCAACAAAAATCTAAGGTGAAACTATCCTGAGAGAAAATATCCCTCCTGAGCAGTCACTGCTACTAGATCACATCCCACCAAGGCTGATGGACTGTGCGGCTGTTGTGCTTATTTTTAGTCACTGAGTTTATCTGTTTATACACAGATGTTTTGATCAAGTCTTCATCTGTAGTAGGATCTTCAACACTGTTTTCTACTTACCAGGTATCCATCATCCCACGTGGCAAAGGACTAGGTTATGCTCAGTATTTACCAAAAGAACAGTACCTCTATACCAAAGAGCAGCTCTTGGATAGGATGTGTATGACTTTAGGTGGTCGAGTCTCTGAAGAAATCTTCTTTGGAAGAATTACAACTGGTGCTCAAGATGACTTGAGAAAAGTAACTCAGAGTGCATATGCCCAAGTGAGTATATGAAGGAGTGCGTTTCCTCCTCATTTGTTCATATTTGCATGAGAAATTGACATTCCATGAATGGCTCTGAAACAATATTATTGTTGCTTCACTGTTTTAGGCTTTTTAGGCAAGGGTTATCTCTTAAAAGAAGTCCATTTTTAAAGCAATTAAAGCTTATGAAGAGAAACTTTTCTTTTTTGGAGACACAGTCTCCCTCTGTCACCCAGGCTGCAGTGCAGTGGCTCTATCTTGGCTCACTGCAACCTCGGCCTCCCGGGTTCAAGTGATTCTCCTGCCTCAGCCTCCTGAGTTGCTGGCATTACAGGCACACGCCACCATGCCTGGCTAAATTTTTTTTTTGATACAGAGTTTTGCTCTTGTTGCTCAGGCTAGAGTACAGTGGTGCAATCTCGGCTCACCGCAACCTCCACCTCCCAGGTTCAAGCCATTCTCCTGCCTCAGCCTCTCGAGCAGCTGTTACTACAGGCATGTGCCACCACACCCGTCTGGTTTTGTATTTTTAATAGAGACGGGGTTTCTCCATGTTGGTCAGGCTGGTCTTGAACTCCCGACCTCAGGTGATCCGCCCTCCTCCGCCTCTCAAAAGTGCTGGGATTACAGGCATGAGCCACTGCGCTTGGCTGAGAAACTTTTTTTTTGAGACTGAGTCTTGCTCTGTTGCCCAGGCTGGAGTGCAGTGGCACCATCTTGGCTCACTGCAAGCCCCACCTCTTGGGTTCAT